CTCCTCACTTGTGCTGACAGACGCACCGAGCTTCTCCATCGTCTCTTTGGACAGATGTAGCAGGTTTGATTTCTGTATTTCCCATCAGGCCTTAGGGATGAGGGAACTTCAGAAAAGCTCATGGAAAAAAGGAATTAAAAGATAAACATAAAAAGTCGATAACCATTATTTCTCAACATAAGTTCCATCAATGTCAGAGCATTTTGTAAGTGATAAGAGCCCTGTCGTCAATTTGTTAAAAAATGGAAAACTTTGGGGGGTTAACCATGTCAACACAGGCTTTGTGACACTGTCCACTAGAGAACATGGGCCCCCTCTCTCTGCAAGATTAGGAGGCGAGGCTGGCTGCTCTTCTCCTGCAAGGTCACAGCCACGGCAGCCCTGTGCACAGCTCAACTCTGGACCACGCTCGCCGTGAGCCTGAATCCTCACGAAGGCAGTGGGCCTTCCTTCTGCTGTTGGTTAGTTACGCGTAGCTAGGGAACACTTGAAATGAGGCCAGGGCAACTAAGCTTGTACGTTAATGTTTGTTAAATTTAAATAGCCACTTAGGACTATTTGAATGACTACGTACATCAGGGAAGAAAGACTGGGTTTCTATCCCCTTAAACAGGTGCAGTCTTGGAAACGCACAGTAGGTCGCTATGAGCCCGCATTGACTTGATGGCCGTGAGTTTGTTTGTTGTGATTCATACATCACAGGAACAACTGTGAGGCCATCGCAGGACCGGACAGTGTTGCCTTCTGTTGTGCACAGGGTTGCTATGGGTCGGATGGCATCTAACAACCACCGATGCACCTCACAGGTCCAGAGAATGACCCAGGGAGATTTCTCCAAGGAAGTGATATTTATGCTGAGACCTGAACGTCACACAGGAATTACCAGGCGAAAAGTGGCAAGGGAGACAACCTCAGGCAGAAAGAACAGTTCAGTATGAATCCCCTGAAAGGGAGGGTGGGCAGACAGGGATCAATTTGGGAAATTCACAAGAGTCATTGTGACTGAAAGATGGTGAGGGTGGGGGAAGGAGGGCCCCAAGGTCAGGCTAGAGGGCTGGGTATAACTTTTGGTATTCACAAGAGCTACTCTCAGCAAATGGCTTCTCCTCAAATACTATTCAGATCATGACCAGTGATTCTGAAAGTTAGCCCTGTCTTGGCCAAGGGCAAATTAGGAACAACACAAAGGCTGGTCATTAGATAGCATGACTGTGTTGGCTTCGGGTAATAAGTGGTTTTCTGAAAGCCCTGTCTACCAGCAGGGAGCCATTTTCACGTCTAATCCCGACTTTGTGGAGCTGGGGAAGTGGTCAGGCTTGGTCCCTACCAGCAGGACCAGGTTTCCTAAGCAAGGGCAGTGGTGGAGGCTGTCCTAGTCAGCTCCCCTCCAAGACTGATTCTGTGGTGTGCAAGGCACACAGGGACGTTGAGTGCCAGTTCATTGTGGGTCTGCAAGAGGCCATGGGTGCCATCAGGTGATGTGCTATCCAAGTCCAGAGCCCAGCACTTCAGTCCGGGTCAGCCTTTGCTGATTCTACCATGTAGTGAGGAGTCACGGGGCCCAAAATGTGGACGTTTGCCTGGCACTCCTGCAGAAACTGTAATCTTCCTGGGAGTTTGGGACCAATTGTTTAAAAAATTTTCATTAAATAGAATAACGAGCAAGGGTAGAAAATACAGGTAACATTAGATGACACAAGTCTTTCACTCCAGTGTACAAACATCTCTTACAAGGTAATCCACAGTGGGTCAGGACCTGCAGTACTGGCAGGCACTAATTGTCTGAACAGAGCTGGGTGGGAGGCAGGAAAAGGAAACTTGGTAGCTCCATGGGAGATGGGAGAAGCAGGGGCCCTCTGTGGATGACAACTCACTGCTAGGCTCACAACTGCAGCAATCGCAAACCCTTTCAAGGGCAGACATCTCAGCGTCGTCTTTTCCCTCTTTAACCAGAGGAATGAGATCCGAATCTCCCTGCAGCAGATTGGCCAGAAAGGACTCCATTGTTGATAAGCTTTTTAAATAGTTCCCTTGCCAGGATGGTCACTTGTATCCAGAGAATATGGAAATGAATGCTGGGTAGCATGGCTTTTCCACTGGGAAAGGACAGGGGCTGTAACAAACGGAAGGGGATTGTGAGCTTGGGGTACGTTACTAGAGGCCAGGTTGAAGTACCAAGTTGTGTACTGTTAATGAGTAACTGAAAAACGCAATGCTCAGACATCACTGTTGGTTTTTAGCATCACAAGGGCATCTGATTCTGGGGTTTTGTAATAGTGACATCGAGAATTTCAGCCTTTTCTCATTTATTAGGGGCGAAGACAACTCGGGAATTTGTTAAAAATATTTTTATGACCCCGTTCTCATCAGTCAGGGCTGGTCGGGTGGAAGAGGCCTCAGGAGTTAAGCCCCACCGGAAGTGTCTGAGAATTGACTTCAGAATGCTCTTCCTAGAACCAACCATCTTGGGCTGGTCACTGTCAAGTGACATTTCCAGTCCAAACCCCCACCTTTTGTGACCCAATGGCAGGGGCAGCCGGAGTCCGAAGATGCCTTTGAAATCCCAACAGATTGTTTCTAGCCGAGACTGGTTCTTTTGCTGCTATTTGACAACAGACTCTCAGAGCATCAGCAGAACTCCACCGTTTAAAGATGAATACTTATGGGGGGAAGGTCTTAGGGCGCTAACAGGGACTGATTTATCAAGCGTGCAAACCTGCGTTCTCCTGCGGTAGGCGAAGCTCTGTTGCTTTGTCACAGTGACAGAGCCTACGTGAAGTAACTCAGACTGCTGTGGCTACAGGTCACTGTGTTGTGGAGGGGCTGACCTGGGTCTTGTTCTCAACGGGCAGTGTGTGACCTTGGCTATGTAATATATCACGCAATTTAAAAGGAAGGAACATGAACCTGTATTAAGAATCCTGGGGGAGGAGGGAGCACTAGAACTGATTGAGATCATACGACTCATTTTAAAAGTGATTTAACCATGGAAGAACATGTGAATAGTAGACGAAGCAAGTCACAAACAGCCCAGACTTTACCAATGCCTATCACAGGTGAAGGGAAAGAGTGGTTGCCTTGAGGGCATTGAGTTTATGCCAATGGTGGTAGAATAATTAGGAACAGGATATCAATAATGGCACGAAGAGTATAATCAATGACACCGATTGACACAAGTGGAAGTCGTGGAACTGGAGAATGCTGTTGTGTATATTTTTGCCACAATTAGAAAAAAATAATTGTAGTCATTGAATAGCAATGACTACCAGGAAGAAGAAAATGTTGTAGAATCGAATATGATTACAACTGTACAACCCTTCTTGATATGATTGCATTATTGAATTATAGGGCATGTGGATGAAGTGCTAATAAAACTTTTTTAAAAAGGGAATAAATAAAAGTAAAAAGAAAACTGAAAAAAAAATCCTGTGGTAGTCACCTAATCTGGTGTCAATTTAAGGATTAAGAGTGTAGGGGTGGAGGGTAGGCTGTCAATCTGGAGATAGCCAAGGAGACTTCTGTGTGGGCATGGCCTTCTGAGAATTCTGGGAAATCTGGTACTTCCTCCTTGGAGGCGGAAGACACCTCTCTCTCTGCTACTCCTTGGGAGACATTGCAGAAGACAAGCCACATGGACGCAACCAGACCTCAGAAGCCGGAGAAGCCATGTGGAGACCCCTGCCAGTGCTGAGATGTTTCCAATGACACTGGATCCAAAGACTTTCTACCCACTGGCCTGTGATCTTCTGCATCTGGACTGGGCTGGGATGTTTTCTCCATGTTCAATTGCTCTTGTATATAAACCTCTATCTTATGCACATATGTCTGTCCATGGATTTGTTTCCCTAGTCTACCCAGACTAACACAATCCTGAAGAGTTTTATCTCCCCAAAGAAAGGTGTTTTGAAAACATGAACTGATATCACTGTTTGTTTTGTTTAAAGAGTGAAAGATAAAGCATTTAAAAGCATCATCTTTGGCCCACATTCTTTCTTCCCTTGCTGATCCGTGTAAATCTTGACCCTCAAAGCGAAACTGAGAAGGAGACAAGTTAGACCTTTCCATTCCCCCGCCCCATTTTGATCTTTTCTCCCCCTTACCACCTGCCCCACGATCACTTCTCCTAAGTCTCTAGTGTCTAAAGCCCTCATCAACACCTGCCCTAAGAGATGATCTGTTACCAGGCGCCTACAGATCAAATGTGAGTTTCAGTCTCTCGATGGAGCTTCTCCCCGCGGTGTCTGAATGCTGTTTCACTTATAATTGTAGTAAAGGAATTCCACGCTTCGTTGTGAGGAATGGTCATTGGGAAGGAGAGGGGACCAACTGTACAGGAGGCTGCAGACAGAGCTGCCCTACACACCAGCACCCGTACATGAAAGGATGAGTAGTGAACTCTTCTAAGTGAGGCTTAAGGGACACGCAACACTCTTTAAATTATGCATGCATCATTAATATACAGGTATACACACTCACAGCTACATAAAACACCCACATTCTATAAATCATCAGAAGGCTGAATGGCTCATTATTAACTGCCTTTGAATTTAGCAGTGGCCAGATGCTGATCCTAAAATTATAACCACTGTACCTAGTAATCATCTGCTGTAACAATGGTGTTGTGTGCTCTAGCCCAGCACCACAAAAGGCTCCTGACGGTCATTTGAAGAATGGCTATCTGGACATGCCAATCATGTACAAGCAGGCTCTATTTGACACACTGGGGGAGTGAAGGAAGAGATAGGGACATACATGCACCATCCAAACCAGAGTCCATTTAGTAGCAACACCCCCCCCAAACAAACAAACAAACAAACAAACAAACAAAAAACCCTGTCAACTTGCTATAAAATAGCTGAGTTCTTAAATCTTTTTTTCAACGCCACACTCTTTATTATCCACCCCTGTACCATGTGGATTCACTCATGTCAACCCCAGACTCCCAGAGTTCTTGAATGTTTAATCCAGGGATATACCAAATCACAATATCATAAGTCTACCTTCACTCTTTCCTTTCCAAGGAAGAAGGCGGTGGCGTGCAGCACGTCGGCGGCATGAGTGGAGTTATGGTAGGCGTTGGAGGCGTGGTAGTTAGCTTCAATAACTTGCAGCCAAGCCCGGAGGGTGGTTTCAGAACAGTTCAAAAATTCACACACTCCAAACCGGGAAAAGACCTTTAAGCCCAGGTAAACCAATGGCCTGAAAAATAGGCAAACAAACCCTGGTTTATTGTATTTAACGACCCCTGGACTAGCTTCTGGGAAGGTAAGAGGCATAAAGACATCCTCTCCCCAAACGGCAATGTAATTGAGCCTACTTTCCCCACCAGCCTCTTCTTGTGGACCAGTTGCCTCTTGGTAGCTGGTCCATACACATTATTTCTCAGTTATCTCTACATCCTAAGCCTTTAGGTTCGGTTGCTCTGAGAGCCAAGAAAGGTCCCTGACAGGTCTGTCCCTTTCTCTCCATGTAAGTCCTGTACTTTCTTAATGTCCCCAGAGGAAGTTACTGAGTCTAAAGAGAGAAGGAAGCCTTGGATGGTCTCAGCAAAGTCACATCTCTAGAGTGACGTTACTCTGGATAAAAGGGGAAAGGCATCTATACCCGAGAGACCCACATAACTTTCTCCAATTACAGAAGGACACTTGGAGTTTCTCTTCTTTTCCCTGCCATTGGGATGGGCCAAACGCAAAACTCACAGCATCTTTAAGAAGAGCTCACAAATTCATTTTGTAAGGTGAGGCCTCTTCCACAAGTTTGGTGCCAAAAAATACTTAGAACTCTTGGCTCTCAGTAAAAAGGAACAAGCTGGTAGATCTAAGAAGGAACTTACTTAGCGTTTCCTCCTGCTGGGCCAGCACCAGGTTGGCCCTACGTTGTGCCCACTGCTACTCTCTCCCCCTCGGGAGCCACCATCTCTGCTTGTCTGATGGTCCTCCTTTATGACACAAAGCAGAACCCGTGTGGTCTCTTGTGACAAGGGCATAGCGCCCTCACAGTTTCAGATTCGGTGGAATCTCTAGCATGGCCATCAATGCTCGCATCTAGAAAAGTTACGTACCTCTTATGTGTAACTGATTCTAATTCAAAGATGTTGAAGTCCCAACTCTCCTCATTATCAAGTAGTTGAGCAATACTGGGGGGGACATCGTTGATGGTTAGTGGCATGGCAAGGTGACTGTGACTCTGGTGCACGTCTGAGCAAACAGATGGGGCAGGGAGGTTCATTAATTATGGAAGAGTACATGCTCCTGAACACTTATTATCATCTTCATTGTTGCTATGAGAAAGAAAGTTTTGTGCTTTCACAGCAGTGTGATTTTTTTTTTATTTCATAGATCTTCTCTTGCATTATTAAACTTTTTCACAGCCTCCAAGCAGAAAATTGATTTCATTTGACAGTTCAAATGCATAGATATTTGAAAATCTTAGTCCGATAGCTCTGGGGGAAGTAATCTTAATTGGGAGCTCTAATTTCAAATGTGGGTCACAGAGACACCTAAACTCAATTGCAACCAACTGGGGAAAAACCAACGCCGTCCCAGAACAATGATCACACAGGTCAGAAATGAATTTTCAGTAACAAACAGATATGTAACAACTTACTTTTAGTAAAGACATACTCGTTTCCTGACAACCTTCTTAAGCCATCCTAGAATAAAGAAAAGATGCTATTAGAAGCCAAGTGACCATGCTACATATCCCTTCATCACCATTCTTTTATCTCCTTCTTTATCATGCAAAATAATTTCAACCCTAGATCAAATCAGGACCTCCAACTTGGAGCACAGTTCAAAATGAAATCAGAATCATCATTACTGGCTGGTATTTGCCCTTCCATGGCTTTAACCCATAGTAGGTAGAGAATTGAGAGTAAAGGGGATACAATTGCCCTGAGGTCTTACTCCTGAGCCATAGGCTGGATCTACTCTCATACTCCCTTTCTCTGCTGGTATTCTGAAGCCTTAAAAGTGAAATCACAGAAGAGATCGCAGGTTATTTTTGAGGGACCCCATGTATCTTGCAGTAGTCATGTAATTTCATGCAAACTTGAAGCGTAAGGGTGGAGTCTAGCCTGATTGGTCACAGCCTGATGGTGACTCCTTGTGGGCGTGGCCTCCTCATAAAGAAGGTCCTGGGAAGGTCCCTCTCTGCTTCACCTTCCTGCTGGTGAGCCACTTGGACACCTGCTGGGGACCTGTCTGAGCCCTGGAGATGCTCCACCGCCATTCGATCCACAAGACTTTGCACCCACCAGCCTGTGATCTTCCTGCATTCTGCATCATTGCATGTGGCTGTGTAAATCTGAAGAGGGATCTATGGACTAGTATCAGACTTATGGACTTGGCTGTGATATTTTCCCAATATATAAAGCTTCTTGATATAAAACTCTCTCTTATACATAGATGAGTGTCATTTGTTTCTCTAGTCAATCTGGGCCTAACACATACCTTCATAGGAACTATCATATTCTGTGTTCTTAGATTTACATTTTTGGGGTCAACCATGGGGCACAGTTTGGGGATGACTTTCTAATGTAAAATCTTAAAAATGTTTGGGCTGCTTTTTGGCTGATATTCAAAGTGTCCCGTCCCCCGTCCCCTGTCCCC